AAGATGATACGCACTGGTTCAGCACTCAGCATGTGCCCCACTTCATTTGCATGGGTGGACCACAGCTGTGGAGGTACTCGTGCCAACAGTTCCTCTTGCAAGTAGGAAGTGTCAGGTTCAGAGTACTCCTGGGTTAGCAAAGCCACAAGCTCAGTTTCCCTATGTTCTGGTACCTCAAGGTAAACACCATCTGGGCTACAATAAATCACGCATCCCAGTTTACACAGCAAATCCTTACCAAGAAGGTTGACAGGTGCACAGGGGCTAAGAAGAAAGGCATGATTTTCAGACAAAGGGCCAATAGAGATGGAGACAGGTTCAGAGACGGGATGTGGGATAGGTTGTCCGCCTATACCGACAGCATTTATAGTTTCAGGAGAATAAGGTAGAAAAGGAAACTCAGCAGCCTTTAGCGTGGAGCGGGATGCTCCGGTGTCGACAAGACAGGAGACAGGTTTACCAGAAATAAGGCATTCAACAAATGGACCAGATTGGTCAGTAGCAAGCAAAGGAGCGATGATGTCACTGTCCCTCAGGCTGTCCTATTCAACACTGGGAAAATTGACAGGAAGAGGAGGTGGGGGCTGGGGGCTGGGTCTTTGGCCAGGGCAGCTGAGGCATTTTGATTTCCAGTGTCCTTCTTGCTTGCAATAATGACATTGGTTCCCATAGCCTGGGTTTTGTGGGCCCGAGGATCTCTCTCTTCCCCGAATCTACCCGGGCCTCCCCTTCCCCATCCTCGTCCCCTTCCTCTACCTGGACCCTGCAACTGAGAAATCTGTAAGGCCATTAACTTAAACTCAGTGTTGTCTTTAGACGGTTTCAATTCGTTATGAAAATGGTTAGCTGCAGCAAGGAATTCAGTCAAATCTTTAGTTTCCCAGCCAATAATTACTGTTTGAATTTTCTCAGCAATTTTTGGGTTAAGTCCCTGGACGAATGCTGCCACTATTGCTTGTTTAGCATTTCTGACCGGGTCATCCATTCCTGAATATTGTTGCATTCCTGAGTATCGTTCAAATGCCTGTTTGAGGCGTTCCAAATAGTCACTGGGGTGTTCATTTTTGTTTTGTTTACAGGTATTTATTTTGGTCCAGTCTGCCTTTTTTGGGCAAATTGTGAGAACTGCCTGAACCAAAGCATTTCTCTTGTCAATAAAGTCTTGGCCAATCCCTGGGTTTTGATCTGGCCAAGTACAGGCAGCATACAGACGTAGCATAGTTTCCTTGGGCAAAATCGATCGCATGAGCTGATTAATGTCAGCCCATGTTGGATTATAACAATTTATAACAGTCTGCAATTCTTCCTGAAATTTTTCTGGGTCTTCCCTGATTTTGGGGAATTTTTGAGTTAAATTGTAGAGATCACCTGGAGTCCAGGGTGCATGCACGGTTACTATATTTTGTCCATCGGTGCCAATGCCTGGCATTTGTCTTAGGGGGTAAACTTGTGCAGCTCGGGATCGAAGATTGATGGGAGATCTTTTCATGCCTATTCCCATTCTTCTAAATACACCTGTGGTGGGTTGTGACCCAGAAGTAGATTGCCACACTAGTGACGATTGAGTGGCAGATATGGTGGATGAGTCTGGACTATTAAGCTTCATGGATGAATTTACCAAAGGAGCTTCAGCTAATGGGTTACTAGCCTGGGCTGCAGCCTGATGTTGAACGAGTTGTTGCTGATGTGGGAGTCCCAGGAGAGCAGGGTTCGAACAAAGGTCAAGGATATCCTCTGCTGGCTCCGGTGGTGGGGGCGCCCCGGGCAATGCTGGATACATCGGAGCGGTGGCCGGCGTGTAATTTGGGGGAGCAGCCAATTTCTCCCGAACAGCTTGTAACTGCTGTTTTAATTTTTCTTGAGAGTCTTTTAGGCTCCTAGTTTGAGATTCTGTCCGCCTTTTGGACATTTCATCATACCAATAAAAGAACGCGTCCCACTGGTTTTGTGGTGTTTTGGATCCACGGGACTCTAAAGCCCCTCTTAAGTGCACTATTTTATCCTGATCAAATGTTCCTTCTTGTGGAAAATGCTTCACAGGATCATCCCTAGTATACCAGTTCCACTTATCCAGGTACTTGCAAGCCTCGGGAGAATAGTGTGTGTACATAAAGTACGCCGGAGTCCCCTTAGGGGGGACGGGAACTTGTTTAGACTGACTCGTTCCCATTTTCAGTCACACAGGGAGACGTAGGAGAGGCTTATTTAGGATGTCCGGGCCGCTCAGTGCCTTGCCCCGCAGTTTTTCACTGCCCAGACAAAAGGCTTCTGACCCGACACCGGCTCATAAAATGGAAATGGGAAGGGAAACACAAGAGGAATCCTTTCACTCCTGCTCTCGGCAGAAGCTACTGGGACAAGGGGTTTGGAAAAGACAAAATCACTCAGACGCCCTGTCCACTGGGTCACGAGGTTTCAGCTGGGCCCCCTTGCTTTCGACGCTACCTTTTTTAGGCAGAATCGGGGCGGCTAGACCCAGCCTTAGTCCCAGACCTGGTCAGTGGCTCATTTTTCTAAATGCACACACACACATTTATTCAATCACTGGGAAGCCCTGTCCACTGGGTCACGAGGTTCCAGTTGGGCCCCCTTGCTTTCAAAACTGCCCTGTCAGGCAGCGGGGTGGGGGGGGGGGTGAGGGGCAGTCCGCAGTCCTCCTTCCTCAACACGTGTTCTGGATCCAAGTCAAGGCACCAGTAATTGTCGTGGAAACACACACAGCATACTTTTGGGTCAGGTTAGCAGAAGCTTTTATTCAAAAGAAACTACAGCTGTAGGGGGGACTCCAAAGTGACATGGATCTCCCAAGCACTTGGAAGGGGTTCCCCCCCCCCAAGAGCAAAATCAGGAAGCTTATATACTTTTTAACAGTCGCTTACAACTCACGTGATCATACAGTGAAATTAGCATGAAAAGCAGCTATAAACATTATTTCATTACTTCTTTGCTGTTATCAGGATGAGAACTATGGAGGAGACAACAGGAGAAATAACACTCCCTGCCTGCACCTGGAAATCACAGTTGTGCATACTTTTTGGTATCTTCAAGGCCGCGGTGAGCGAAGCAGTTGCAAAGGAGCTACAAAGAAGAAACACTTTCCCTTATCTGTTCTACTGTACAGAGCCAGCAATTCTCCACAAAGCGGTTATGTCATCTTATAACTCAAATGATCAAAGTTCAAGGCATTTATTTTTTCTGATTCCACAGGCCTGACAGACGTTTGCCAAGAAAATGCTACCGCAGTGATAGTTCTGAAGAGGGGAAGATTAAGGAGAGTAGCCCCCTAACCTGAGTGTCTCCTGAGATGTTTAATGGTCAGATGCCCAGAGCAAATGCTGAGGATTCTGGAGAAGAGGGGTGCCTCATATTGGATGCTGGGGGAGAAGATGTCTCTGGGGGGACAGAGCCACTGGTGAGTGTCTTGAACTTGGAGAGAAGTGTGTGTGTGTGTGCGCGCGCGCGCGGGGGAGGGGGGGGTCTTAGGGGTACTGGTGGCAGGGAGGGGCAGGAATTTACTATGAACTCCTTAAACAGTGGGTGACCATAGTTTTTCCTTAAAAATTCCTCTGCAGCTTGATGAAGCCTTTCTCATGACACCAGAAAGGTAGCACAGCAGCAGCCCAATAAGCCCAGTATTTGGAAAGAGAAGCTGCTTTTGTGACAATTGGAGGCCTGGTGCTTCAGAAGAAGAGGGTGCTGTGGCCTTTAGAAGACAACTAGGAATTGAACAAACAGGACCTGTCTGTGGGGTCGTAAAAGGCTCATGAGATCTCTTGTACGTGTTTGTTATGGCATACTGAAATATTGTTCGAGAGAGAGAGACTTTTTGAAGCATTCAGGGGCTGCCTTCTAAATGCACCAAGTCAAGGAAACCATGACTGTATAGACAGGACAGATGAGGATATAAACCAGACAATTCAGGAACTTTGTACTGAACTGTGTATGGAGAGTATTCTAAATGCTATAACTGCATTAGGGTACTCTAGGGATTGTCTATGCCTCACTGAGAAACATTTAGCTCAGGGTGTGGCAATTACAAACCATATTCATCTGGCTGGAGACCCACATGCTGCTTTACATGGTGTCCTTCATGAGGAGGGTAAATCTCTGGTACCCTACACTGAACGTTTAATTGGAACAAGAAATTATAAATTCCTGCTCCAGGGAAAAGTGTAGCCATGATATAGTATAAAACTAGCAAAAGCTGTAAATTTTGTACAGAGGCTGATGAAAATATAACTTATTAGAAACACATTCTCACAGATGTCATTCTTTAAAAGGGAGGGCATAGAGGGGTGTTGGGGATATAAAGGGTCACAGCTAAGGATATGTTGGAACAGGCCCCAAGAAAATTCTGTGGAGCAATACAGGACAGCTGTAACTTGATGGCAGCAACAAGGTATTGTCTTCACACCTAAGAACCTTACAAAAGACTGGCAGGGTGTATACATCCAAAAGTCAAGGAGTTTGAATCTATCAGTTGCTGCTTTCACACCTAAGAATCTTACAAAGGGGACTTTGGTACGCACCCTACCAAAATCAAATGGGGTTTGAATCCATCACAATGGGCCTACAGGGATGAATCAAAGGGCGGGATGCAAAAACCAGGGCCAGCCTCCACCACAAGGGGTGTCTACAGGGATGAATTAAAGACCACCATGCAAAATCCAGGGCAGTCCCTGATAATGACCTGCCAATCCGTGAGAGAAGCCTCATAAATATTAAAATTAGAAGTCACCAGGATATCACCCTGAGAAGGGCAGAAAACACCCCTTTTCTCAGGACTGTGCAACTGTTCCAGGACAGGATCTAGGGATGTACTCATATGTTTTATATATCTTTATTTGTTTTTATGCCGTCTTTACATCTTTGTTTGGTATTCATTACAGGGAGACTATCTACTGAATTAAAGGCCCAGACACCAGGTTCTATGTATGTAGTCATAGGTTTTTATATAATTTTTATAAACTTTTCTTTACTTCTTTACTTACTGCTTCTTGGAGTCCTTATTACAGCAGAGCAGCCAAACTTTTAGACCAGAGGGGGCAAACCAGGACAGGGGTATGTAACCTTTTTTTAACTCTATGCATATAGATATCTTTTCCATTTCATTATAGTATCTTTTACTTTCTGCTGTAATGAAGACCCCAAGAAACAGTAACACCCCAACTTTACACCAGAAAAACCTCAGAAGGGTTAGACCAAGACAGGGGCGGTATGTATGTGACCATTGTTTTACTCTCTATACATATAGATATATGAGGCTTATGTCAGAACATCATTTTGCAACTGTTTATCCCCAAACAGAAAACCCTTCTTGAAGAATGGAAAACCAGAGCAAGCATGTCCCATCATGTCTTTACCCTGTAGTAAAAGGTACATTTTTCTGAAATCAAACTTTTGAAACAGTGTTTTTAGGGTGATGGGGATAATTTTGCTATGGGTCTTTTAAAGCATGGGTGTTTCAGCCTTGCAGCTTTTAAAAATGTGTGTTTTGGGGGTAGGGTTGAGGATTAGGGGGTGTGTTCATCTTGAAAGTGAATTTCTGATGCTGAGATGTCAATGTTATGTTTCCTAAGCAATCTCACACAAGACCGCCAAAGAGAGAGAATGTTCCAGAAACACCAGGGGAACACGATTCAGCTTGAAGGCCTCTAGCACCACTCACTGAAAACCACAGTAACACGCACCCTGAGGATCAGAAACTCCGTGAACAAGACCCCCCCCAAAACCAAAGCAGAAGGACACGGTTAAAAAAAAAAAGACTGCATGGTTTCTCAGAGGAAAACACATCACCAAACCCTAAGAAAGCAACGTGTGAAAACACAAACATTCACAGTTCCAGAGCTGCTGTTTTGGGGTCTGTGAATAAGAAAACACAAGATTGATTACTCGCACACTTTAGAGAAACCTGAGGAGGTTCTTCCCATGTGTTTGAAGGAACATGATTATTTTTCAAGTGAAAAGAGGGGATTTTGGAGGGTTGCTGGCACCCATACAGCCTTGAAAGATCATGATTATTGTGCAACCAAAAGGGCAGATGTTGTACAGAGGGGAGGTGGTCTGTATGATCCTGACACTAGGCATGGTATGCATTGTAAGACGGGGAGGCCTTGATAAACCTGAGAACAAGTGGCTTGCGGGGCAAAAAGTAAGGGCCTATTTAAAGGTGAGGGTGGAAAAGGCTAAGTGCCTATTGAGAAAGAATAAGAGAACCCTAAATACCCTAAACCTCCACAAGCCTGTGCAGCCAGAGACCAGGCCTGGCAAATGTGATGTTAAAGACCTTCTAGAGAGGCCCTCAAAAACCTCAACTCCTCCCGGGTCTGTGGAATCAGAAAGTGAAAATGGTGAAAATGATTAGAAGATGCCTCAGAGGGTCCCTTGAATGTAGACCCTCCTGAGCCAGTGGAGGATGTTGTGCCAGATGTAGAAATGGTATGGGTGAAAAGGCAGGAGTGGCCTATAGCTAGGTTTGGAGCCCAGAGATGTATAGAGGAGTTTCGTTTTAGGAATCTGGAACTTGTATCAGTACATGTGGCTTTTGAAGCCATAAGAAGGGGGGTAGAATGAACTGTAGAAAATTTCCACCATTTATTCATGCCTGCTGATTATGCCCAGCTCCATATTGAAGCAAACTGTATGCACAACTGTTTATATTCCCCAGCTATTAATTTAAATGACACGTCCACTGACCTGTTTTTAGAGTGAATCAGCAAGCTCTTACAAAGTCATAGAGAAATACTCTTTGATTCAACATTTCAGTTGACTTGTGGTAGTTGTAAGGGGTGTGGGCAGCGGTGCCCGGAGAGTAATAAGTTTTATCCACTATTCCCAAATTATTGCCAAAAAGAGACTGTATTTAATTGATCTGAACACCTTTGATACTAAGGTCTGTTTTGCTGGTAGTCTTGCTCTGACCACTCTTAGAAGAGCCACAGATGCAGAGCTGCTACATGGTGCAAACCAACTGCATGAGAAGTTGGGGTGGTAAGCACAAAAACAGGTTATGTTGAAGGATGTAGCATTGTTTGAAGATCTTGTAAAGGTTAACATCCATATAGTTATGCGTAAGGAAAAAACAGGGTGGAGTTTCTTTAAAACACACAGCATGCCTCAGTATCCAAACACCTGTTTCCTTATGTTGCTTGATGGACATTATTATGGTGTTCTGGATGTGAAAAAGATTTTTGGGGTGAGAAGTTATTGTGATCTTTGTCAGCCACTCCTGCAGGTTCTGGTGCCACCTTTGTCTGACCCCAGACTGCGCAGATAATGTGGGCGAGGCACAGAGGTGTCCTAACTGTGAACTGGTCTGTCGGTCCTTAGGGTGCTTAGAGAGAGAGACAGTTCTGGCTTCTGAGAACAAAGCTGACTGCTTGTCTAAAACTTTGTGCTATGAATGTAAATCTTATGTGGACAAAAAACCACGAATGCAAAGGGAGGCAATGCAAATAGTGCTATGGGCAGATCAAGGATGTAGACAAGCACCAGTGCTTCATGCCCCAGATTACTAAACCTGAAATAGGGGAGAGTTACATTTTTTATTATTTTGAATGTATGCAGGAGACTGGGATGCATGTACTGAATTACATTTTTGTGATTAGTTAGCTCTAGAAACCCCTTGGGAGGATAAGACTCAAGAGACAAAACAGACTTGGGAATTTAAGGGTGAAGAATGTCTGTCAGACTTTATTAAGGTCTTTATCGATAAAAAGTATCAGGGCTACACCTTCATAGCTCACAATGCCAAGCGCTATGATGGCTACTTCATTTTTTTGCCAACTATTAAAAGAAAAAATGGCCGTGAATCTCATCACCCAGGGAGATAAACTTATATGGACAGAAGTCACCAGCCTGCATATCCGTTTCATAGATTCTTTAAACTTTCTACTTATGAAACTTAGCAAACTCCCCCAAGCCATGGGTTTTGAAGAATGCAAAGGACATTTCCCACATTTTTTTTAACACGTGGGAAAATCAGAATTATGTGGGGCCTCTCCCTGAAGCAGAGTACTATGGGGTTGAAAGCATGATGCCTAGCAAGAGACAGCAATTTATAGAATGGTACTGGGACAACAGTGATAAGACCTTTGATATACAAAAAGAGCTGGCCTATTATTGTTAGGGGATGTAAAAATTTTAAAGGAGGCCTGTTATCTCTATAGGAATGAGATTATGAAAATGACTTGGTGGGTAGAAATGGTGAAAAAGGAGGGTGAACTTGAACATGTAAATCTCTGCATAGACCCTTTCCATTATCTCACGCTGGCTTGTGTGTGCATGGGCATGTACAGATTTATGTTTTTGAAAGACCAGACCATTGCACTACTTCCCCCAGACGACTACCACAGACAAAGATTTTCGATCCCCACTATCCAGTGGCTCATGTATCTTTCTGAAAAGGAAAATATTCAAATTCAGCATGCCTTACAGGGCAGGGAATTTCAGGTGGGGGGCTATTTTTTAGATGGTTATGCCAATATTGATGGGAAACCCACAGCCTTTGAATTTAATGGTTGTTTTTTCCACAGTTGTGTCACCTGCTACAATGAAAATGACTGGAACCCTTTGACAGGGACAACCTATGGGTTTCTGAATTATCAGATGCAGCACAAGGCCGATTATCTTAGGAGAGTGGGGTTTACCATCAGGAACATTTGGGAGCATGAGTGGAGGATTTTGTTAGAATCCAATGGGGAGCTCTCCGATTTCTTAAGCAGAGCCCAGCTGCCTTCTTCTCTGACACCTAGAGATGCTCTCTTTGTAGGGGAGGACTAATACTGGTTGTATTACAAAGCTAACCCAGGTGAGCAAATTCACTGTTATGATTTTACTAGTCTCTACCCCTTCATCAACAAAACAAAGGAATACCCTATTGGGAACCCCAAAATCATTCACGACAATTTCAGCCCCCTGTCAAGCTATTTTGGTTTGGCCAAGGTGAAATTGTACCTGCCATGTGGGCTCTCCCCCCATGCTACCTGTCAGGGTGAATGGGAAACTCATGTTCCTGCTGTGCTGCACCTGTGCAGAAACAAACCAGGCAAAGTGCACTCTCACTGATGAGAAAAGGGCCCTTCTGGGCACCTGGTACACACCTGAATTTAACAAAGGTATCACAAAGGGGTACAAAGTAGCTAAAATCTATGTGGTCTGGCATTTTCCTGAGGTGAGTAACACACTTTTTGAGAAGTACATGGCACTAGACCTCCGACAAACAGGAAGCCTCGGGGTATCCCACCTGGTGTACTGACAAAGAAAAGCAAGACCAATATGTGGCCAATTTCTTGCAAAAAGAAGGTGCATCTTTATGACCTAAGCATATTAAACCAAACCCTGCAAAATGTCTAATTGCAAAATTATTTCTAAATTCTTTGTGGGGTAAATTTGGCCAGAAAACAAAATCTCCCAAACACCAGTATTGAGATCTCTTTGGCTTTCTCTTTTCTCCCACCTATGACATTTCCTCCTGTGACTATCAATGATGAGATTGCCTGCATATCTTAGAAGCACACCAAAGAGTGTTAAATGCTCTCAGGCAACACTAATATCTTTATAGTGTGTTTCACCATAATATATGACTGCTTAGAGCTGTTAGACAGCCTGCAAGACTGGTGCCTGTACCATGACACAGACTGATATTTGTGAGCCATGAGAGAAACTGGAACCTCCCGCTAGGTGATTAGTTAGGCGAGCTCACAAGTGAGCTCCCCCGAGATGAACACATTCAGAGTTTGTGTCAGCAGGCCCAAAACCCTACAGGTATACACTGTCAAGAGAAAAGCTCTGCTTAAAAAGGGTTACCTTGAATGTGTCTACCTGTGAAAAAGTCTATTTTGAGAAATCTCATTTTTTATTATGGAGCAAACCTTGTCAGAGACACCCCTAAAACAACTGCAGAACAGCAGAGCTCTATTGTCAAGAACAAACGGCAGTGGACAATCGAAACCAAGACAATTAAGAAAATACAGAAAGTAGTTTATGACAAAAGGGTCCTCACAGAAACCTTTAAGTCCCCCCACGGTTTTTTAACATGGATATGCGTTGGAAGCACCCCGTTTCAGTGATTCTTGCAGGGCCTAGCAACTGTAGTAAAAGTTACTTTATAAAAAAAACAAACAAACAAAAAAAAACTTTCTTAATAATGCTGGTAGATTGTCGTTTGTTATGCCTGAGACTATCATGTGGCACTCTAGCTGTTGGCAAACTTTGTATAAAGAACTTCTTTGTAACAAATTCCTTTTATCAAAGTTGTGGAGGGACTGCCACTTGTTTCCTCCAAATAAAGTAAATATGGTTGTGGTGGATGACTTGATGGACTCTGCTTGTGAGAGTGGTGAAACAGAAGGCCTTTACCAAGTATGTGCATCACAGGATCTTAGCATTATGTACGTAGTTCAGAATGTTTTGTCAGGGGGAAAAGAGTTGCACTGTTACCCTCAACACAAAATACATAGTTCTGTTTAAAAATCCAAGGGATAAGCTAGAGGTGGTATCCCTGGCAAGCCAGATGTGTCCAGGCAAGGCTCAGTTCCTTTCTAGAAGCTTTTGAGGATGCCACTAAAAAGCCTTATGGGTATCTGGTGATAGACTTAAACACTTCTACCCTGGAGACTTTGATTGGGGGGAAAAGCCCAGTTCTTAAAATCAGCCAGCAATTTACACGGTGGAAATAAAGAGATGATGTAGCAGCAGGCTCTTTTTTAGCTCCTGAACCTACAGAAGGGAAACATGTCTAATTGCGTAAAGAGAAATTTGGCTCTCAAAAATGCTTATTCAATTCTCCCCACTGCAGAGGAAAGCTAGACTTTGCTTGGCCTCTGATGATGTGGTAGTGGCCATTTCAGAAATTGTTTTGAACACCTTAAGTGGAAAAATCCCTTTGACACCCCACCAAATCCATGTGCTGAAAGAGATGCAGAATCATAAAAAAAGAAAGTAAAAAAAAAAAAAAAGAAGGCTCTTGTTAAATACAAACACAGCTGGTGAAAGCATCTAGGGGATTTAATTGGACCCCTGTTATGTTTCGTTATCCCTCTGATCTTGGGACTTTTAACTGAGCACTGATGGAGCATGTGGGGAAAAATGTACCTGGTGCCTAGGCACCACCTGGAGTGATTAAGGCCCCCCCCCGCTGCAAAATATCAGAACTGATTGGATGCTAAAAAGAAGGACATTCTCTGAAACCAGGGTTTAGCTGAATACAATAAAACTAAACTATATGCCACCATACTTCAAAAATACCTGATGCATGTGAAGCAGAGTGACTTGGATAGACAGAAAATAACCCTATTTATGCCAGAACAGAACCCCCTAGAAATGGCAAAACCCTTAGAAACACCAACAAAACCTGACCCCACCATTTCAGGCAGTGTTGGATAACATGCACCTCCAATACAGGAAAAATACTAAAGTGTTGCTCAGCATAAGCATATTTCTTCTTGGGATGACCAAGAAGATATTGTATACAAACGAATGCTCATCAAGGGTTCCAACATGCTCAGCTTAGTCTGGGGGACCCTTCAGAGACTCACACCGCTTCTAGTAAACATCCACCTAAAGGTTGGGACATCTTTATGAAAGCAATGCCTGAGCTTAACGTACCATCTTCCATTATGTGCAATGCTGCAAATCGGGATCATTTGGAACACCTGAAAGCATGTGCCACAGACCAAGAAGCCTCAGCGCCAAAGAAGCTTTTAGAGACAATCTTTCACAAGTGGGATCACCAGGTAAAGTTTTACACTTGCAATAAATTATTTTATACTGCTTCAAAATTTTGCCTGCAGGTTTTTGTTTTAAAGTGGTATGGGGTAAAAGAAACACACACACGGACTGTTCTTTTAAAAAAAAAACAACAACAAAAAAACCCTCAACAGCAGGGCTCTTTATTTAAACAACACTTTTCTGGAAGTCATTGCATGAGATGTCTTGACATATTGAAACATGTTTTGAGCAGGTCCAGTCATGTGGAAAGATTTGTGTTTGTTTATTTATTTATTTTTTTTTACAAACTGTATCACCCCCATGTGATCATTTTGTACTAAATCACTGAAATACAATTTTAAAATGTGTTCAAATGATAGCCCCGTTACAGTGGTGAAGGAAAAGCACAGTGGTATCCACAGGCAGAGCTGGAGTCTTATAACTTTCATCTGAAAAGCACTGCTGGTAGGATTCTTATTATTTCAAAAGAAAATAATACTTTGAGGAAATAGAGCGCTTTGAGGAAACAAAGCGCTGCGGTGACCATATGAATAAAAAAAAAACTCCCCATGGCTCCGATCCATCGTGTAAATTAACAGCCAGTGTTCTTCAGGCTGATTATATGGGTGCATGTTGACCACTAGGCTCCAGGGTCTTCAAGACAGCTGAGCCTAAGGGAGCCAGTCACAGGAGAACACATTTAAGAAAGTCTCTTTAGGGTAAGGGTCTGTGGTTAAACCCCAGGAGAGCTGTTTGCTGTCCATCTTCACATGTAGTCAAACAGGATGTTTCTCTGCTGGTTTCTCTATAATGTTATCAAAGACCCCATACACAGTCATGTTGACAGTGGTGAGCAAAGCACAAGCAAAGTGTATTTCTGCTCTCAGGTTCCTGGTTTTAAACAGGGAATAATGGTTGGCACATGTCTGGTCAGGAGACAGGTCAAAAGCAAACAAGGTATACCCCTAGGCAAACTCCTCACGGTTGATCAACAGGGAATGGTCTTCCATGTGTTTACTGGCCACCTGTACTAGATGCATATATTCGCTCACAGAGTTACCATTTTCAAAATCTGGTTGTAGTGGTTTCACTGGGATTTGTTCTCTATCAATGTACAGGGCAACAAAATTAATACTGTAATGTTTGAAGTTGAAGGGGTTCTTAACATAGTTCCCGCTAAAGGCGTCATTATCCACAAACCCGAGAAGGAGGAGAAACTTAACTATCCCAAAAACAAATTATCTTGATTACTGATCCAGCTACCAGCTAGGATACTAAATGCTTTCATACCCACATAATCTATGGGGTATTTAGCATTGGCTATAAGCAAGGCCTCCACATGGCCCAGTCAGATGCCCGGGACTACCCGCACTTTCTTCACAAAAAGAAAGGCATAAGTAATTTGAAGTTTACACTGTAGAACCACTGGGGTACCCATCAAACAGAAGGCATCTTTTCTGTAAGTCAGTTTAAAATTTTCACATCCATGCTACTCAAAAAAAGTTTTTCTTGAAAAAATTAAATCACTGTGCAGATGGCTTAGCAACAATATCTTTCTGCTCTGGGCAGTCAGGTTTGCATGGTTTCCTAAACCTGTGATTACCAGAGTGATCCAAGTAACAGGGGGGACCCGTGATCATCTAGAGTGACCACTTCATACTGTCCAAGGATGTCTTTATAAAACAGGCCAGCAGAAAATAGGGTGGCGAGGGTGTCATTGCTATAGTTGGACATCAATTCAGTGAAGGCTTGGTAAGGGTAAAAATTGTTGCTCTGACTTATGAGACAGTCTCCCAGAGTGACATCCAACTGGCTAAAAAGAGAGGCCAGCAGGTAATTCACTAAGCTCACTGTGGCCCCATCATCAAAATTGTAAAAGGTGACAGAACCAATTTTGCAACAAAAAGGTACAGCAGTGGTTGTTCAAATCCATATGATTTTTGCCATTCACAGCAATTGAAAAATCAAGGCGGGCAGACTCCTTAAGAGCCAATCTCAATATACAGACTTGTCTCGATGCTAGTCTGTGTAGGGGCTATTTGAAACAAATCCAGCTTGGATTTGGTATACTCTTCAGACCCGCAGTGAACAAAAGCTACGTTGGTTAAAATATTATTTCTTTTTCTCCCAGGAGAGCACCCCTTCTCTCAGGCAGCCGCTTCTTGGTCTTTCATATATGCCTGACCTGCTGACTTACCCACTTCCTTTTAAGGGGTTGGAGCAGGCCTGTACATTGGGGGCATGACATCTTTCTTTTAAGGCTACTTCTTTTAATATATACAAAGCTGGACCCCTCCTGCTTTGCTGACTTGCACACTTTATCCAGATGCGACTGATCACGTCTTTGGCTATATTTTGAGTTACATTTTTAACATGGGGCTTAATAATCTCCAGACCTCTTTTCAAAAGCAGGATGGCTTCTCTAAAGAGGCTGCGGAATATGCCCTCCACACCAGCTCTGTACATCATGGGCATCCCATGATAACTAGGGAGATCATACCCTGCCTGGGCTTTATAATAACTTCTGTACAGGGTAGGGTCTCATAATTGTTTTTTTTTTTTACCATCAACATTGTGCTTTTTCTTATTTTAAAACCCTAAAGTTCTTCGGGGGTGCAGGTGAAGTTTTACAATCACCTTGCCAAAGCGAAATGAGATGCGTCTGTTCTGATCAGTCTTTATTTCAGTGTTGATTGTGTTGACGTAATGCTGACTCATGGGGACATAATGTGGCTTGTCATACTTGATGGTGACAAACTCATTACATCTTCCACAGATAGGTGTGCATGCCATTATACTTAGTAGACCGGGCATAGGGGGGTTTCAGTTATCAGCCTGGCACAGTTAAACCATGCTTTGGGCCAGACAAGACTGTGCTCAATGTTTTTCAGGACAGTCCCTTGATGGCAGTGACATGCAGTCTAACGTGGCCCAAGAAGTATTTTGCCCCATAATCCTATCCTAATATGATCTTTTTTAGGACTCTGTGCTTGATGCAGGATATTTTATTTATTAAATCAGCAAATTTAATAGATTTCAGAGACATTAGGGCTGGAAGGGACCTTGTAAGATCATCAGGTCCAGCCCCGTGCCCAAGGGGCAGTAAGTCAGCTAGGATCAAAGGATCCTAGCAAGATAAAACATCCAAATATTTCTTGAAAGTGTCTAGAGTAGGTGCTTGCACCACCTCTGGTGGGAGTCTGTCCCAGACAGTAAAAACGTTTTTCCTTATGTCCTGCCTAAAACGGTCTTGCAGAAGATTGTGACTGTTGGACTTTGTTATTCCCTGAGGTGCTCTGGTGAACAGGTGTTCCCCCAGATCCTGACACACACCCCTTATGTACTTATAGGCTGCCGCCTAGTTACCCCTGAGCCTACGCTTCTCCAGGCTGAGGAGTCCCATAGCTCACAGCCTATCTTCATAAGGCCTGTTCTCTTGCCCTCAGATCATGTGCGTGGCTCTCCTCTGGACTCGTTCAAGCTTCTCCACATCCTTCCTAAAGTGTGGAGCCCAGAACTGGATGCAGTGCTCCAGCTGTGGCCTCACTAAGGCTAAGTACAGTGGCAGGATGACATCCTGGGTCTTGCTTGAGATGCATCGGTAGATGCAAGCCAGAGTTTTGTTTATTTTGCCAGCTGCAGCATCGTATTGGTGGCTCACATTGATCTTGCAGTCAATCATGACCCACAAGTCTCTTTCAGTCATGGTGCTAGTGAGTGTAGCATTGCCAAGCCTATAAAAGTGTGGTGCGGGTTTTTATTTCCGAAGTGGAGCACCTTGCATTTCTCCATATTGAATGCCATCAGGATTTCATCTGCCCACCTTGCAAGCCTATCAAGGTCGGCCTGGATCACCAGGCTATCCTCAAGTGTGGACACTTCCCCAAAGCTTGGTGTCGTCAGCAAACTTGGCCAGTCCACTTTTGGCACCAGTGTCCAGATCATTTAAGACATTAAAGAGTACAGGTCTGAGAACGGAGCCTTGGGGGATGCCAATATTCATCAAGTGCCATGTTGATTTGGTTCCGTCAACTACCACTCTCTGGGTCCAACCTCGGAGCCAGTTCCCCAACCATTGGACTGTGGAGTAGTCAAGGCCGCAGTTGCCCAATTTTTCCAATGAGGACATCATTGAACACCAGGTCAAAGGCTTTTTTAAAGTCCAAATGTATGACATTAACTTCTTCTATTTTGTCCAGATGATATGTCACCTGGTCATAGAAGGAAATGAGATGGGTTTGTTGTGGGTACGTCTTGCCTGACCAAGGCTGGCTATCCCTCAGAATGTTGCCTTCTGTTAGCCTCTCAAGAATGGTTTCTTTGATAAATTTTTTCCAAAATCTTCCCAGGCATTGAGGTCAAACTAATTGGCCTGCAGTTTCCAAGGTCTTCCTTCTTCCCCTTCCTGAAGATGGGCACCACATTGGACCTCTTCCAATCTTCAGGTACTTTGCCCAAGCACCACAAATTCTCAAATATCCTCTCCAGTGGCTGTGCTATGGGGTCTGCCAGTTCCTTTAGCACTGTTAGGTGCAACCTATCTGGACCACCTGATTTATGGGGGTCCAGCCTCTCACGAGGCTCCCTCACAAGATCCACACCAATGGTGGGCATATATTTATCTTTACCTTGGTCATCCCACATCATATTAGGCAGGGTGGTCCCTTTGGGCTGGTGGAAAAATCAACCAGCAAAACGTCCAACTAATCAGTGGCAGCAGGTTCCTGTCAAGGCCAGGGCAGCTTCTACAACTGCTGTGCCTGCTCCCTAGACACCCCTTGGGAACAGGTATGCAGCCCTGGCTCCCCTGGAGGAGAAGGCAGAAGAGCAGATCCCCAAAGTCATTGATGCTGCTTGACCTACAACGTGGGCTGAGAAGAAGCAGACCCTGAGGAGGAGGAGACGTAAAGTTCTGGTCATCGGGGACTCCATTCTGAGGGGAACCAATGGTTCAATCTGTCATTCTGAGCCCTTGTCACGGCAGGTCTGCTGTAT